ATGGCTAAAGAGGCTAGAACATTGGTCAATACATGAATGCACATATACTTGGGTTCGGAGGTAAAAATGGCTCGATTTCACTTAACACATTGACCGAACATATGAACTTAAAACATGCTAATATTTTAACCATGTCGTACTCATGATTTTTGAGGATTATTAAGCTATGAAACTCGGCCATATCATGCATGTACATTAACTTACGAAATTAGGGCTCAAATGTTCAAAAATTCGAAACTCCATAATATGAACATGCATGGCATCATTTTTCAACATGATAATTCTTATTTTATCATGAATAAGCTGGGAAAAATGATAAACACGAGCTAACCTTGCTCGAACACGCGAATGGTGCTAATGGCCTTAGCTCGGGTCTACATGCGGCTTAGGTGTGAATGGCTCGGCCGAGGGGCTTAATGGCTGAAAGAATGAACTCACTACACTTAGAAAAATCCAAAACAATAATTGGAAGATGCTAAGTACTGAGAGTACACGGCTGGAACAAGCTGAGGCCGTGGCTAAGCCTTCCTCGCCCTCTCTCGCGCGCGGGGAAAAGGTTAGACTTGCTCTCGATTTTTCTCTTGTTTTCTCTCAATTATGCTAAGTGTTTAATGTGTCCAAGAGTCACATTAATGCTGAGGAGTGTCCCTTGTATAGAGGATATGGGCGGAGGCCACGAGGTGAGCAAGTGGGGGAACAAAGTCCACACATGCGTGCATGGGAGAAGGGTGATGGGGCTTGGGCTGACTTGCACGAACTTGGAGGAATGGCAGGGCATCTTGACTGACCAAGGCATTAAAATATGGTGGAGATGCTGCTCCTGGTCGGGCTTGAGGTAGTGGGGGACATATCCAAACTCACAACAATATAAAAAAATGTCCCACTCATCTTATAATATTCCTTAATGGCCATGTGACTCCTTTAATCTTTAATCGTGAATCGAGCTGCTCGGGTGCGGAGCAATCAAACTTCTTTCAAGTCATATGGTAGCTTCCCGATTTTTAGGTATGTTCTTATCGGTTGCATCCACCAAAGGTTGTCTCCCTTGGTGGTCGGCCTGGGCCCTATCATGGAGCCAGGTTGGCCAGATTCATCGACTTTGCCAGGTCCAGCCCCAACAAGCGTGACTCATACTCGGCCTTGTTGTTTGTTACGGGGAAGAGGTATTGGACTGAATGACAGAACAACATTTTTTTGGGATCCACGAGGACGACCCCTATGCCCGGTGTAAGCACCCTCTAATACATTGAAAATATCAGAGTTTTTGAAAATTTACTCGAACTTTTTCGAGAATCATTTAACTTTTTAAAACATGCTTTGAGGGTACTTACTAAAAACATAACTTACTTACTGACATGGCTTCTTATCAACATTTTGGGATATCTGACCCCAACATAAACATAATCAATTCATTAAGACCTAGCAGGGCGATCGATACTAGTCTGATAAATGAATTGAAAACTGAACTGGATAACCAAACAATGTTCAACATAGAATAATAAACATGTTTGCAAATAATAATCATGTCTCATTATAACGGAAGCATAAATATACTGCATATGCCACCACGTGCCCTCCCTTGAGTCCCACTCCGACCTGCTAACCTGAAAAGATAATTGTGAGAGCTGAGCAATAATCAACGTGCTCATCAATATTCCATACTATGCAGTTATTCATGATAAAAACAGGTATCGATAACATTGGCATATAAATAAGTAAATCATGGTCTCATAACATGGCTCATCTGCAGGTCTACCAGCCGGGAACGCTAACCCACACGGCATGGCAAACCACTCTCGGGTGTACACCTTCACCACCGAGAACGCTGACCGACACGGCGGGAGATCCTGTCCTGGTACCCACTCGCGGGCAATGCCAACTCATAGGCAAATACTCATAAACATACCTCAATTATAAATACCTTGCGTTTATTAAGAATTAGAACATAGCAATGAAAATCCCCACCTTATAAACTTACTGACTGGATGAAAATGCACGTGGGTCTGAATGAGGGTTCGACTCCTCGTTTAATCTACAGTTAATGATTTTTATCTTATTATTTAAAGTGATAGCAGATAAAACAGATAAGGCAGACAAGGCTGATAAAACCATATAATTAAATAATTCACATAAGGCAGATACAACAAGTAAAAACTGATACATGAAACTCCTATAAAAATTTCAAGTCGAAAAGCCAACTATAGGCATGTCAACCAAATAGTTAAACACTCAAACATGAAATCGACACCTGCTGGTTCAAGAATTTATGTAAAATTCTATACTCATAATCTTAAGCTGAAAATAAACCAGCATGATCACAACTCATACATAAATTCCTCATAACAATTTCAATTCAAAGCCATAAGCATAGGCTGAGATATAACAGTTCCAAGGCCAGAGTGACATGCTGAAGGTCTCATATTTTTAGTTCAGTCAATACACATCATTTTAAGCTGAAATTAAATATGCTTACTCTCAACACATATACTAACATACCGTAAAAAGTTCTGGTCAAAACAATAACTAAGGGCTGAGATATAATCATTTGAAGTTTCAGCTAGAACATGAAGCATTCGAACTCGACTGCATCACAAACTTCAAAAATTCATATCTCAGTCAACACACGACCAAATGACCTCAAACTTGAAGGAATACACTCAAAAATTACACCAACATGATACCATAAAGTTTCATTTAAATTAGATAACCGAAGCTAGGGTAAAAATCGTTTCAAACATGCTGCAGTTTCAAGAACTCGAAATCAGATAACTTGTAAATCAACATTTTCTATAGCTTGCTATGCAAACCATCTAAGGCTGAAATTCGACCTGGACATTCTCAACATACACAAGAATTGACAAATTTCAAATTAACAAGTTATCATAGATAGGGAAATTCAAGGTCACAAGTCATCAATACTACACAGAATTCACTTCAGACAGAACCTCAATCAATGATTTTTGTAGAATTCATTTCAAGTACAAATAATCTCAAATTTTACAGTAATATCCTCAACACGATCATGAATCAACATACAAATTCGCATATTTTTCTGGACACATTAGGCAAGGCAAAAATCGATTCAAAGATACTGCAGATTCATAGATTCGAAATGCTTAAACTACAATTCATCTCATGTTTTCCCCTCTCTACAACTAAGGCATGCCTTTAATACTTTTAAACTAAAATTTAATCTCTGACGCAGCAAAAACCACATAATAAGCAACATATAACCAGCACCAAATTCAGTACAACACGTAGACACAAGATCAACACAAACAAGGCAAAAACCAACACATACATGCTTAAACTTGAAGGATTCTAATATGAGTTTAACTCCTTCATAAAAACTAACTAAACACATATATAAACATCTAAACTCGGCTAATAAGAGGGAAAAATGGCTCAGCCTGGTTACCTTCTTCAAGATTTAAAAATGGAGAGAAAGATGGAGGGCTCGGTGACGGCTAAGTGCTCTCAGCTGAGGGGAGGCTTGTTGTGGTTATGGCTCGGCTTTCTTGCTAGCTAAAAGGATTAGTATCAGGTGTGGTTTTAGTCAGAGGTGCTGCTGAAATGGTTCTCTTCTCAGCTTCTCAAAGTCTTGAATCCCTACTGCACGAGGTTGTCGGTGCACGGTCTCTTCTCTCTTCTCGGGTGAGCTCGGATTTCAGAGGTGTTGAAGGGAGTTTTTTATGAAACTTTTCTGAACATGAGGAGAGGAGAAAATTGAGGGGTTGGCTGGTCTAAGGGTTTCTTAAATAGGGATAAAAAGAGGGCTGCAAAAAATCAAAATGTGGAAAAGGGACGTGGGGTGAGCTCCCTACAAATGGGGAGTAGTTGATGACCCCTTCTCTCCTCTTGAGGTGGCGGCTGAGGGTTTATTAAATAACTCACATAATACAACTAATGCATAGAATAAGAGTTAGACAAATAATATGATCAATCAAGTACAAATTAAGCACACCGCACTTAGACAAAATAATTCCACAACGTTTCATTAAGCTCACACAAAATGTGCTAAGGCAAACACATATATAAATCACTAATTAATTTAACCAATTAAATTCACATAAAATACACTTATAAATATAATAGAACACATGGAAAAATAAGCAAAAACACACTTAGCACTTAAGAAAATTTCGTAAAAGCACTAGCACAAAGAGTAAGCAAAAGATGAAATTAAACTAATTCGAGCAATTTATAGGATATGATTTTATTAAAATAAAAACGGGGTGTTACATCCTAACCTCCTTAAAATATTTCTGTCCTAGAAAATTACATAGAACTAAAATACATAAGAGAACTCAAAATACAAAGTCCGAATACTTAATCCGAAGCTCTCTCTCACTCTCCCAAGTAGCCTCTTCCTTGCTCTGGTGGCTCCACTGAACTTTGACGAGCATAATCTCCCAGTTCCTCAACTTGTGGACCTTTCGATCCAAAATGGCTACTGGTACTTCCTCATATGTCAGGTTTTGCTCAACCTAAACCTCGTCATAGTTCACTATGTGCCTGGGATCATGTACATACCGTCTCAACATCGAGACGTGGAAAACATCACGAACTCCTGACAATTCTGGGAGTAGAGCCAACCAATAGGCAAGGTCGCCAACTCGGTCGAGTATCTCGAAGGGTCCGATGAAGCGAGGCCGTAACTTCCCTTTCTTCCCGAATTGAATCACACCTCTCATCGGTGAGACCTTCAGGAAGACCTTATCACCGACCTCGAACTCTAGATCCTTCCTATGCTTATGTTTATATGACTTTTGTCTGTCTTGCGCTGCCTTGATCCTCGATCGGATCTCCTGAACTTGCTAAAACGCCTTTTTGATAAGCTCGGGACCGAGAATCATTCTCTCGCCCACCTCATCCCATTGCAACGTTGTTCGAACACTTTGTCCATACAGAGCCTCGTATGGTGTCATCTTGATGGACGCCTGATAACTGTTGTTATAGGCGAGCTCTACCAATGGCATCGAATCTTCTCACGAGGTACCTCAATCGAAAAAACATGCCCTCAACATGTCCTCGAGTGTCTGAATCGTTCTCTCGGACTGTCCGTCTGTCTCGAGGTGGTAATCGGTGCTGAAATGAAGTCTCGTGCCCATATCTATGTGCAGCCAAATCCAAACTGTGCAATAAATCATGTGTCTCGGTCTGATACTATCGAACACGGGTACTCCATGGAGTCGAACTATCTCTCGGATATATGTCTTGGCATACTTCTCCAATTTCATAGTCGTCTTCACTGGCAAAAAGTGTGCGGTCTTAGTCAAACGATCCACAATAACCCAGATGGAATTGTTCCCACTCCTCGTTCTCGGGAGACTTACTACAAAGTCCATTGTGACTTGCTCCCACTTCCACTCGGGGATCTCAAGTGGATGAGCCAAGCCCGACGGCCTCTGATTTTCGGCCTTGACTCTCTGATATACGAAGCAGTGGTCGACGAACCTTGCTACATCTCTCTTGCGACCCCTCCACCAGAAAGACCTTTTCAGATCTTGATACATCTTCGTACTCCAGGGATGAACAGAGTACGGGGTGCTGTGGGCCTCCTCCAAAATCTCTCTTCGCAAAGCCAACACCTTCAGAACACAAAGTCGCTGCTCAAAGACTAAGGCTCCATCCGGTGCTGTCGCGAATCCTCCAATCCAACCAACCTGAGATAGGTCTCTCATCAGGCACAGAAATCTATCCTTTGGCTGTTCTGCCACGATCCTCTCTTGAAGGGTCAGTGCCACAACCAAGGATTCTAACACTTCACTGGCTCTCGGGAACTGCTCCACCGAGTCTATCTCCAGCCTGCTGAACTCTCGAATCAACTTCTCCTGTTGGGTTAAAACACAAGCCAGTCCACCACGACCCTTCCAACTCAATGCGTCGGCCACCACATTAGCCTTGTCTGGGTGATAGCTAATGGTGCAGTCATAGTCCATGACTAACTCGAGCCACCCCCTTTGTCTCATGTTGAGCTCCTTCTGCATAAAAATGTACTTCAGGCTCTTATGATCGTTAAAAATCTCGCACTTTCCTCCGTAGAGATAGTGTCGCCAGATCTTCAAAGCATGAACTACTGCTGCAAGCTCCAAGTCATGTGTTGGGCAGTTTTGCTCGAGAGGCTTCAGTTGCCTCGACGCATAAGCTACTACTTTCCCCTGTTGCATCAACACACAACCAAATCCTTGTTTGGAAGCATCACTATGGATAGTGAAGTCCAACATCGGGTCGGGAATGGTCAACACAGGTGCGATGGTCAACTTAGCCTTCAACTCCTGAAAGCTCTCTTCTCACTAGGAAGTCCACACGAACTTGGCCTCCTTCTTTGTCATCTGGGTCAACGATGGGCTATCCTCAAAAAGCCCTCGATGAATCTCCGATAGTACCCAGCGAGACCCAAGAAGCTTCGGATCTCACCGGCATTTCTCGGAGTGCTCCAGTTGCTCACAGTTTCTATCTTGTTGGGGTCCACTTTGATTCCCTTGGCAGTAACAATGTGACTTAGGAAAGCGACTCAGTCCAGCCAGAACTCACACTTGGAAAACTTCGCATATAGCCTCTCTTTGCGAAGAGTCTCCAACACGATCTTCAAATGCTCGGCGTTTTGGTCGACATCTCTCGAGTAAACCAGGAAGTCATTGATGAACACGATAACAAACCGGTCTAAGTATGGATGGAAGACCCGATTCATCAAATCATTAAATACCGCCGGTGCATTACTCAACCCGAACGGCATCACTACAGACTCGTAGTGACCATACTTTGTTCTGAACGCCGTCTTTAACACATTTGTCTCTTTGATTTTTAACTGATGGTAGCCTGATCGTAAATCAATCTTTGAAAATACGCTCTCTCCCGTCAGTTGGTCAAAGAGGTCCTCTCTTCTCGGAGAGGATACTTGTTCTTCACAGTCAACCGGTTCAGCTCCCGATAATCGATGCACATTCTCAATGTGCCATCCTTTTTCTTCACAAAAAGTACAGGTCCATCCCATGGCGAGACGCTCGATCGGATGAATCCGAGATTGAGCTACTCCTGAATCAGGGTTTTGAACTCTTGTAGCTCCTTCGGTGCCATCCTGTACGGTGCTTTGGACACTGGTCCTGCTCCGAGGATCAGGTCAATTGTGAACTCCACTTGTCAATCTAGAGGTCCTCCTGGCAGCTCGTCCGAAAAAACGTCGCGGTATTAAAAAACGATCGGCACTAACTCGGGAGACGGCTCCTCCTTCTGGCTCTCAACTAGACTCACTAAGTAGCCCTGGCAACCACTCTTCCGAAGACTCTTCATCGCCTTCATGGTAGATACGACTCTGGGTACGGTCCTAGTCTGGGCTCTGAAAAACACGATCTGGTCATCTCCTGACAATTGCAAGGTCACCTCCCGCTAGTGGCAGTTGATGTCGGCTCGGTACTTCGTCAGCCCGTCCACCCCTAAAATGATGTCAAAGTCCTTCATTGTGATGACATAAGTATCGGCCTCCATGTCTCGTCCTCCGATGTTCATCTTCAGTTCTTGCACCATAGTGTTCGTATTGTCTTCCCCGAGGCTAGGCTTACCTCTAGGGCGTCGACTGTACTCACACTCCGAACTCCAATCACCTCCAAACAGCTCGATGAAATAAAAGAGTGCGTCGCTCTGGTATCAAACAACGTGAATACAGGTATACCATGCATAGAAAGTATTCCAGACATAGTACCTTGATTGTTTTCTGCCTCAGCCTGGGTCAATGTGAACACCTGGGCTCTCCCTCCTGGTTCTGGCTACTGCTGCTGGTCTGTGCCATATGCACCGGTCTCTTGCACTTGAAGCAGATGTTCTTGCCAGCTAAACACTCTCCCTTGTGTCCTTTGCCACAGGTAGCACACGGCGAGCGGTCGGCCGGTACCTGCTGGATCGGTTAGGCTGCCTGGGGTGGTTTGTTGTCTCGTCTGTGCTTCTTGCCCTTCCATTGTGATCATCATTCCACTTTCTCTTCGCGGCATTGTCTGGTGGATGAGCAATGTCAGCGGGTCGAACGGAGAGTGACTAGGACCCCATCTGTTGGCACATCTCGAGTTGCTGGGCCCTCTCAACAGTCTCGGCATAGGTGAGATAGCCATGGCCGGCTATCATCATGAGGAGGTATCGTCTAAGGCAATACAGAAAACGAGTGGACTTTTTCTCTTCGATATCCACTAGATGTCGGACAAACGCGCTCAAACGGGAGAACTTCAGCTTCTATTCAGCCACAGTACGGTTCCCCTGACTAAGGCTCGTGAACTCCCTCTCCATCTGGTCACGGAAGTGACGAGGATAGTACTTCTCCGTGATGATCACTTTGAGCTGCGCCCAGGTCAAAGTGTCTCGCTCGTCTACTGGCCTCAGACGCCAATAGTCTTCCCACCATTGTCCAGCTTTGCCCTCTAACATGTATTCCCCGCAGACCACCTACTGGGGATCATTACATACCATTAGGCAAAAGATACGCTCCAGCCTAAGGAACCAGTCACCTACTGACAGCGGTCCCACCTCTCCGGTGAAAGTCGGAGGTGACATCTTCCTGAACTGAGCAACAACCCGGATATGATTCTGCTCATGCTGCTGCTGCTGAGGGGAAACATGTCTATGAGCCATTTCTGGACACATAGTACGAGAAGGGTTTAGAATCAACATATTAAAGTTCAAATCATAAGTCTGAACTTTACTAGAGTTCACAAACTGTTAATGAGGATAAATTCTAATGCCCTCAAATAAACATACACATGCTACTACTGACTTACTGACTCATACCTGGGTTCCGGAGCAACTCAAGGTGGCGAGTGTTTGAAAGTATTAATAGACGCTAACTGTGCTCTGATACCAAACTGTAAGCACCATCTACTTATACATTGAAAATATCCAAGTTTTTGAAAATTTACTCGAACTTTTTCGAGAATCATTTAACTTTTTAAAACATGCTTTGAGGGTGCTTACTAAAAACATAACTTACTTACTGACATGGCTGCTTATAATCATTTCGGGATATCTGACCCCGACATTAACATAATCAATTCATTAAGACCTAACAGTGCGATCGATACTAGTCTGATAAATGAATTGAAAACTGAACTGGATAACAAAACAATGTTCAACATAGAATAATAAACATGATTGGAAATAATAATCATGTCTCATTATAACGGAAGAATAAATATACTGCATATGCCACCACGTGCCCTCCCTTGAGTCCCACTCTGACCTGCTAACCTGAAAAGATAATTGTGGGGGCTGAGCAATAATCAACGTGCTCATCAATATTTCATACTATGCAATTATTCATGATAAAAATAGGTATCGATAACATTGGCATATAAATAAGTAAATCATGGTCTCATAACATGGCTCATCTGCTGGTCTACCGGCCGGGAGCGCTAACCCACACGGCACGGCAAACCGCTCTCGGGTGTACATCTTAATCACTGGGAACGCTGACCGACACAGCGGGAGATCCTGTCCTGGTACCCACTCGCGGGAAATGCCCACTCATAGGCAAATACTCATAAACATACCTCAGTTATAAATACTTTGCGTTTATTAAGAATTAGAACATAGGAATGAAAATCCCCACCTTATAAACTTACTGACTGGATGAAAATGCATGTGCATCTGAATGAGGGCTTGACTCCTCGTTTAATCTACAGTTAATGTTTTTTTATCTTATTATTTAAAGTGATAGCAGATAAAACAGATAAGGCACGCAAGGCAAATAAAATCATATAATCAATAACACTTCGGTGTCCCGAAGTGTTATGGTATTCACATGATGCATATACAACAAGCAAAAACTGATACATGAAACTCCTGTAAAAATTTCAAGTCAAAAAGCCAACTATAGGCAGGTCAACCAATTAGTTAAACATAGCACTTAAACATGAAATTGACACCTGCTGGTTCAAGAATTTATCTAAAATTCTATACTCATCATCTTAAGCTAAAAATCGACCGGCTATACTCATCATCTTAAGCTAAAAATCTACCGGCATGATCACAACTCATACAGGAATGCGTCATAACAATATTCATTTCAAAAACATTAGCATAGGCTGAGATATAACAGTTTTAAAGCCAGACTGACATGCTGAAAGTCTCGTATTTTTGTTTCAGCCAATACACATCATTTTAAGCTGAAATTGAACAGGCCTACTCTCAACACATATACTAACATGCCATAAAAATTTCAGTTCAACATAATAACCGAGGGCTGAGATATAACCGTTTGAAATTTCAGCTCGAACGTGAAGCATTCGAACTCGACTGCACCACAAACTTCAATAATTCATATCTCAGTCTACAAACGACCAAATGAACTCAAAATTGAAGGAATATACTCACAAATTACACAAGAATTACACCATAAAGTTTCACTTAAATTGGATAACCGAAGCTAGGGAAAAAATCTTTTCAAATATGCTGCAGTTTTAAGAACTCAAAATCAGATAACTTGTAAATCAACATTTTTTATAGCTTTCTATAAAAACCATCTAAGGCTGAAATTTGAATTGGACCTTCTCAACTTACACAAGAATTGACAAATTTCAAATTAACAGGTTATCCCCAGATAGGGAAATTCAAAGTCACAAGTCATCAATACTACACAGAATTCACTTCGGACAGAACCTCAATCAAACGATTTTTATAGAATTCATTTCAAAAATGTGTGGTGGACAAAACTCAAACGATGTTTATCGGTGTAGTTAATGAAAAGTAAAGGATGTGGGGTATGCGTTTCTGGTTGACGTTTTGTATCCCATTCCAAGTTCCAACTTCTAAAATATATTTATATTTTATTTGGTATAAAGAAATTGAATAATATTTGAACATTTTATATTGTATTTATTGGTTGAACTAATATAATAGTTTTTATTTTGAGTATTTGTAACATTTTTGTATGTGTAATTTAATACTTAAAATACTATAAAATATTTAAAAATAATAATAAATTAAATACCAGTCCAACCAGTTCAACCACTGGTCAGACCAGTGAACCATTGAACCAGTAGCTCGACCGGTTCGGTTTTTAGAACGTTGATCCACACCGCAAAAGGTATATTTGTATTAAGAATCAGTTGACGTGTGTTCCAAAGAGTTTCAGAACGAAGTCGTTACGTCAAACTATGTGAAGAAAGTTCGACGTGCAGTTGAGAAACTAGAGAATACAGAAGAAGCCCACACCGGAACCTCAAATAATGATCTCACATATGGATCACAAATTATTAAGGACCCTACGAGAGGGTCGAAAAACAATGAAAAGGCGGGCGATCTACGTAGGGCTAGATCTAGAGGCGCACTGCCAGCACAAAGACAAAGGTGCAAATCATGCGGGTACGAACATAATATCATAGATTGCACCTTTTTTTTTAATACATGAAATTAAAAAATTGAGTATTTTATGTACAACGAAT